TAGGAAATGTGTTGGTAATGCGGGCATCTGGGGTCTTGGTTATTGGGTGTCCTGTAGAGGTCTCGAATCAGCAGGATTCATACACTCATGTAATGGGTTCAGTGAATTGATGTCCATTTGCGGGCCCTATCTTTTGCAGACAGCAAGTCCTGCTCTTGCCCATACTGTCTTACCACAGCTGCATGTTTGCTCATCCTACCATACAAATCAGGGATTTGCATATAGGTAATTCCCTGAAAGTTATGTAAACAACTTTGATCGTCATATTTTTTTAAGACAGCCATCACTCTTTTGAATAATAGAATTTCTTTATTTTATCCTGGCATAATCAGAAAGCTGAGCTAAAGAGGCGGGTCTCTAAGGCTACGTTCACACTGCCAGCCACATTGTTCAATTCCGATTTTTTGCTCAGATCGGATTTGTCTATCTTGACGGTTCACATTCATAGGTACAAGTGACCTGTATCTGACTGTAATGTGAATGCATCAGTCCCCCGAAACGTCACACATGCGCACATTGATACGTTTTTACACGGGTAAAAAGCTGGTCATAAAATTGGCACGTTGTGCGGCCATGCCCGCTGCGCTGATTCGAGTCTTTTGCCTCTTTAAACTTTGACTAAAGACTCTTTATTTTTCTTTGGCATTGTAGCCACGTTCGTGTCCACGCTGTGCCATTTCTTTGGCAATTATTTCAAATACTACTCTATTACGATAGGTTCCTTCCAGTTTAACTTGAACAGATTTATTTCCCCAAATATCAATTAAATCCCCACCTTCTCCATCCTTCCACTGACTGTTATCGCAGCTCTCCTCCATTTTTACCTTCCTGCGCTGCCGGTGCAGGCTGATGTCAGCACATGCGTATAAGCAAAAAGCCACATGAATTCCGATTTGAGCGTTCACATTCAGGTCGCATGGCCACGAATCGGATTCGTATCCAATTTAGTACCACATATGAAAGCGGCACAAATCCGATTTGAAAAGATCAGATTTGCGTGTCTACACAGCCCTGAAAAGATCAGATCTGTGTCACATTAAGGCAAAAAATCTGATTTGAGTCACTTCAGCATGGCAGTGTGAACGTAGCCTAAATATGTTTGCATTCTGCCATGCTACCCACCATGGCTGATTTGTATAAACTCACTGGCAGCGGGATACTTTAGCTTTTGGGCCTGTTTTGCTTACATCCCATTTCTGTCCTAGTGCTTTTCATTTCCCTGTTGACCCCAGTGAGATTAAGGCCCAATCGCCCCCTCACTCGCCCTCCAGAAGGTCAGCCCTACAAAACTGTTGTAAGGGGACTTACAAAAAGGATTTAGTGTACCGATCCTGGGCCGGGCTTATGTTCAGCATCCTTTGGACAGTGTTTGCCAAATCAAGCTGTGCTTGATTTGTTGTCCTTGTTGTCACTACGGTAGCTTGCATGTATCTCCTGAGCCAATAGGATTTTCCTGCGAGTTTCCTACTCCAGAGGCAGGCCCTCTAAATGCGGTCACTGGCCTTACCCATAGCTGTCAAGTCTCCCGTTTTGGCCGGGAAACTGCCGTATTTTACCCCTCTTTCCCACCGTCCTCTCGTATTAGTATTTTCCCGTAAATTTCCCGTATTATCATAAAAAATTTCCTCTGCCTCTCCAAACTGAACTGTCAGTAGCCTCGCACGATCTGCCACCTGCAGTAGTCTGCCGGTCATTTACAACATTAACCAGGTCATAAATGCGGAGGTTAAAATGGCAATGCTGTGTGCCAAAAACAAAGTTACTTTCACCTTCTGTGACGACTTCAACAAGGATACAAAGTCTGCAACAAATCTGTATAAGTCATTAGTGAATGCCAGAGAGCCACATGAGTGAACATGACAAATTAAAAGAAAGTGTGTAATGAAAATAAAATATAAATGACAAGTGGTTATTTTAGATTTCTTGTACACCTGTCTTAAAACGTAAGGGATACTGGAGCTTGGTTGGGGTGGTGGGATGGCTCGCAGTGGGTGCCTTTTGGGATCAACCTTACCTGTCTCACGCTTCTGCTATGAAGCTGGGCAGGAGTTGGCAGAGTGCAGGTGGCTCCTTAGGTAGCTTTTAAAATATTTTTGATCCATATGGGTCCCTTCATGTAGCAGATCTCTTTACTGTTTACTTTGTCTGTATGGTCCTTGTTTGATACTCCTACATTTTTGACAACGTTTTGGGATCATAAGCTCTTTTAACTTCCTTTAATGGTCCGTGGGTTGGGACGATAATAGACTCCCTCACTGACACCCCCACTTCTGACCATAGGGGGGATAAAAGCTGTAACAGCAATCAGTGTTGCCATTATTGCATGGAAGACCAAGTCTGTGTAGGGGGTACCTGGATCAATCAGCTTCTTTTCTTCTGCCTTTCCTGGTTAATTAATTTGTCTAAATGTCATTTGAGTAGACACAAAGGAATGACATGTTGTTAGAGGTTTGGCCTGATGTGCCCATGTCCTACTAGAAATGAGCTCCCTGCCATTTTCTGTTTCAGTTGAGATGAGTGTGGATGAAAAGTGCAAGAAGTAATCATCATCTTACATAAGAGGTCGGTGTTTTGCCCTAAGACTTATGGAATGGCCGTGCCAATCAGGTATCGTCAGTTCCCGCTTTCTGAGTCAGCTTTGAAACATTTATTCATGGCTCTGTATCTCCTGACAGACCTCAAATTGTGATAGCAGACTTCTGAAGTGGAATAATCAGTTTACCATTGTCTATCCATCTGGCTGTTTTTATGAGTATATTTTTTCCTTCCAAAAATGGGGTCCTGCTCTTTTGAAATGTTTCCTTGTGAATGGTGGACTGGAAGTTACACCATCCAAAAAACTCACTGTCATGAACTGAGAGCTGTCAAACCTGCTTCGTCCCATAGTTTGCATGGCTGCCACATGATAAGGCCTGCAAGATATCTCTAGTTGTTCTGTTTGGGTTGGGATGCTCCTGTGACTCTGCTCAGAAGCATCTCATATCACCACAGTGATGGTGGTTTGTCTGTGTCATCCAGCCTAAGATCTGGCTTCCAGCAGCCAGGCTTTCTTATGCTATGCATGTTTGCTGTGCATGGGTCTATGTGTATGGGTGTGTGTGTCTGTGTGTGTATGTGTGTGTACACTACATCTTTCAGGTATAGGATTATTCATCAGAGGACTGAGAGATGTATTACAGAGACCAAAAAAACTAAGTAATATTCAGGGAGGTTTAATTACTATGTTCATTGATCTACTAAGCTGATTGCATAAAATAAAAGGATTGGATTAAATTAAGTATTAACCCCACTCAAAAAAACCCTTTATACTAAAGTGCTTGAAAAATACATTTCATTTGAATAATATAGAATATTTTTGATGATAACTCTGTCATGGATTTCTTACATTCAGACAGATTGTAGTAGCAAATATTAAGTCTGCATATTTACATGTATTAGTGTGCGTTTTTGCTTGATACAGCACTGTAGGTCTTCTGAGTTTGATGTCTTAATTCCCTCTGTGACAGTGCCTCTTGCCTAAAAGAGAAAACCCATGAAGATTGTATAGTGCATTGTGGGTATTTCAGGACTCCTCTATATTATGGGGCTTTCTAATTCAATTAAAGGTGAAAAAATAGATGTAAGAACGCTAGTGAAGTAACCAGTAGAGTAGCCATGTAAGGTATGCTTTGCTTCATCTGGGATGTGTGTCTCATATGGTTAAACTAGCCGTGGTTGTGTTGCTGTCTGGGAAACTGGATGTAAATTGCAGCAGGACCGAATCATAGAAGGTGTCTGTGGGAATGCAGTGTGACCTCATGTGGGCCAGGCTGGGCTAAATCAGGCCAGACGTGTACATAAACTCCACAGTGACCCTATCAGGTCCCTGCACCTGCTCACCCAGTGTTACTGTGAGCAAGGTACCCTTCCAAGGGCCTTTGAGAGACCTGCCAGCCACTTCTATGTGAGGAATTTTCCACTCTTTGGGGGTCCCTCAGCCCTCTCTGAGTGACAGGGCAGAGCAGCAGGCATCACTGGGCCAGGCAGCTGTGTGCTTTTGGTGCTGCCCATTATACTTTACAGCCACACTTCCAGAATCTTACCCACACTGGCTATTTGTTTGATTTTTCAAAAATACTGGTCTTGCTAATGCCATTTTCAGCCAGCATGTTGGTGCCATGAGGGCACATGTGGTACCCCCATGGTCTCTGTGTCATGGTGTAAATATATGCACCTGATCAGCTGAGAGTCTCACTGGGCTTCAGATGACCTCAGTGCCTTCAGGGGTAACTGTGGGCACTAGGTGACCCTCTCCAGGTTGCAGATCCACATCCATAAGCACATTCATACACCAGTGGCAAAGGCTGCAACCCTCTGGTTGCCGAACAATAGCACTACCTCCTGCACCAGCAGCACCACCATCTTCTCCTACAGGTAATATAGGTAATTTAAAGACTCCAGTTAATCTGTGGAGAAGATTCATACTGCATGCTCCTCAAAGAGAGAGGAGATGGGATTCAGATTAGAGGTCGACTGATATGGGTTTTTCCAATAGCCGATATTTAGGATTCAGAGTTAGCCGATGGCCGTTATATGCTGCCGATTTTTTTTGGCCGATAATTAGACGTTTTCCCCTCTATTTGCATGGTAAATAATTAATAATAACAAACGATACACAAAATTTCTCAGTTTAGCATTTATTGAATACTGACTTGTGTAAATTTAAATATAAACTTAAATAACAAATTACAGAGAATAACACAATACAACTTGAAAACAATAACTTCAACTTATAAACAATAAAAATAGCAGCATCAGAATCTCTTCTAGTGCACAATATAGCAGCAAACTCCTCATTTCTGAGGGAAGAAAAAATTGTAAACAATACAAAAAGGAATGTGCATGTTATCTTCAGTTTTAATCCCAGCTGCAGCTGCTGCTTTTTCTTTCTGTGCATCTTTATAAGCCTGGAGGTGGTGACACTTCAGGTGACTCCACAAATTGGTGGTGTTTTTTTTTTTTTTACCTTCTTCAGCTCCCAAGCTCACCAGTCTGCTGCAGATATTGCACCTGGCTTTTCCTGGTGTTGGCTTGGTGAAATGCTTTTTTTTCAGCCATCAGACAGCAATTACTAAAACAGAAGAAAAAAAAATGCAAGGTTAGTATTTTTATTATAGTGCCTTCATCTTCAATTCGTTCAACAATTCCAGTATTCCATGCACATTAAAACGATTACACTAATACATTTTGAAAGAAAAAAAAACACTAAGTGCATTATGGTATGATGAGTAGTGTGCAAGGCCAAAAACCTTTCACTAACATGTTGTTTATGTTCTTAGCAGACAGCTTACAAGCCAAATTCACAATCAGAATCTAGCGAT